AAACTAGAATTTGAATGTCTGCAAACATTGGCAAGAATCTGCAGCTAATTTTAGATGGAAGATTTGCAGTGTCTGTTGTTTTTCCTGTTCATTTTAGATGGGTAAATTGTAAAAACGTTGAGGAATCTGACCTGCTTTTTTTTTTCCCCCCTTCTTGTCTAGGTTTGCAAGGCATGCCAGGGGACTACGTATCTCAGGGTGGTCCTATGGGTATGAGTATGGCACAGCCAAGTTACACTCCTCCCCAGATGACCCCACACCCTACTCAGTTAAGACATGGACCCCCAATCCATTCATATTTGCCAAGTCACCCCCATCACCCAGCCATGATGATGCACGGAGGACCCCCTACCCACCCTGGAATGACCATGTCAGCACAGAGCCCCACAATGTTAAATTCTGTAGACCCCAGTGTTGGTGGACAGGTTATGGACATTCATGCCCAATAGTATAAGGGAACTCAAGGGAAAAAAAAAACAAAACAAAACAAAACAAATACAAAAACTATTTTAAGACTTTTGAACTTTGACCAGATGTTGACACTTAATACGAAATTCCAGACAGCTGTGATTATTTTTTACTTTTTGTCATTTTTCATCAACAACAGAGGACCAACGAAACAAGAACACAAATGTGAAATCATGGGCTCACTGAAATGAATATGTCCATGTACAGATCCTCTGGAAAAAAAAAAAAAGACTCCAAGAGTTATAACTACTGTAGTATAAACATAGGAACTAAGTTAACTTGTACATTTCTGTTGATCACTCCGTTACGTTGCCTCAAATAGTTTTAGAAGAAAAAAAAATCCTTGTTTTCCACACTATGTGTGTTGTTCCCAAAAGAATGACTGTTTTGGAGCAGTGAAGTCACTATCCATGAAAGACCTGTTTTGGCCAGTGAGAAAAGAACTACCCTGGAGATGAAGACGAAAAGTCTTGCTGGGTCTCTCATCACTCAGAAGACTGTTCCAAGAAGGCCTTGCCATTCCCTCGTTTTGTTCCTTCATAAAATGTGTCCTTTAGTTTCAAACAGATCTTTATAGTTTGTGCTTCATTAAGTCTCTCCCCATTCCTCCCCAATCTATTTTTTTTTTTTTTGGACTCTTCTTCAAAGAGCTTGCAGGTGAAGATTTAAAAGACAGAACAGACAGAGCAGGAGCTTCTTCCAGTAGTTCTGAGCCTTGGCTTTGGACAAAACAAAACTAAAAGTTGGGCAGCTTTCCTCGATGAAAGAAGTTACTAACGGTCTTTGCACCAAACCTAGGACTTTATCATGAACTCAAAGCTTGGGAAAAAAAAAAGCAAGAGAATACTGTAACAAACTTCGTACAGAGTTCGGTCTATTAATTGTTTCATGTTAGATATTCTATGTGTTTACCTCAATTGAAAAAAAAAAAGAATGTTTTTGCTAGTATCAGATCTGCTGTGGAATTGGTATTGTATGTCCATGAATTCTTCCTTTCTCAGCACGTGTTCCTCACTAGAAGAAAATGCTGTTACCTTTAAGCTTTGTCAAAATTTACATTAAAATACTTGTATGAGGACTGTGACGTTATGTTTTAAAAAGGAAAAAAAAAAGTGTTAAGTCACAAAATGCGGTAATAAATATTTCATTTTTGATTTTTTGTTAGGCTTTTGTGTTTTTAATCCTGCTCAGGAGAGACTGCAGTTATCGGGAGAGGTGTCTCAAGTACATTTATTATCGACATTATATTTATGCCAGATTAAACAAAACTTGAAATGTTCTCTCAGCAGCTTGCATTTCAGAGAGCTATGTCTAATGCCTGGACTATCTGCTAATAACACAGAAGCTGGGTTTGAGGCGCGAGGGCCCAGATATGAGACCAGTAAGCCCATGTGTGTTACGTGTACGTGCCTGCGCATCCATAACCGCCGCAGCCCTTTGCTCCGGCTGCTGAGCTTGGAGGTGGAGAATGGCTGTAATGCAGCAGTAGGTGCGGAAGTTTTAAGAGGAGAAAAGCAGCTGTGAGTTTAACGAGAGCTTTACCTGCGTGAGGATTGCGTAATCTAGTTTTTGAGGTGGTTTTTGCTTTTCTTGTCTTCGTCTATTTTCAGAAGCGGAGCTGGGGGGGGACACCATCAGCAAATGAGGGGAAATGTTAATTTGACATTTTGTGTATAAATAGCTTGTGCGGAATCACGGGTGAGGGTTTGGTTTTAGTTAAAGAAGAGCTTATGGCATTATTCTGAAGCAACTAAAGGAGAGTTTGAACAGGGAAGGCGTCAGCATCGCTAGAAATTTGGCTGCCCTGGGCGGCAGGGTCAGGTCGGTGAGAGCAGGACGGGGCCCGGAGAGCCGGGGAAAGCTCTGCCTTGGCTTCTGGAAGAAGCGGGGTGAGAAAGGGCTGGTAATTACCTCAACTTTCTAGGAAACAAAACACTACCGACTTCAACATCTGTACATTTGTAACCCTTCTCCTCCATCCTCCTCCTTATCCCAACAGGCCGGGGTGTTATTAAAAACTTTGACTGACAACTTTTACCTTTGGAATGTGGAAAGAGGCTCAGCCTCGTGGTTAATGTTTAATTTCTGAGCTGAGTAAATGGACCCACGCTGCTGGCAACAGAAGGGAGAATGCCAGTAGAATGGGTCTGAGGATTTATTTAGCAATCAGGTCCGGCTTTGTAGGCAGCTTTTCGAGGCATTTGTATGAAATTTAAAGGATGATAATTCGCTTGGCTTTGGTGCTCCCTGTCCTGGTTAAAATTTCATCGACCCTTCAGTGGCACACGGAGAGCACACGCCGGGTTCCCATGTCCAAATTCTCTGATGATTGTGGATGTGGAAAATACGAAGGCAAGATTGTTTGCGTTAGCACTTTAAAAGGCAAGCTTTTTCAACTTTATATTTTTTAAATCGGTACTTTATTTCCTTGCAGACCTTTTCTTTACAATCTGAGGAGAAATGTCAGAAAACCTCCCCGCACTACTAGAAGGACAGGGAAGAATTTATTCGTAGTAGATTACTGGGTTTTTAAATGAACTAAACGTTTGCATCGCTGTGTTGTTTTCTATTTTCTTCCCTTTCCCCCCTCTTTTGGGCTGCGCTCTCTGTGAGATGTGTTGCTGAAATCCAAGGTAGAATAACGTGCAGAGATTTCTCCATCTGAGACTTGCTGTTTAGCGTGGAAGGTTCCGATTTTGGTATTTTTAAGAACTGCTCAGCTGTCAAAAGCAACCAAAACGGAATAATGTTTTGACAGCGGTATAGTGATAAAGCAAATACTCTAGTCTGAATAAAAATTGCTTACGCTGTGGGAAACGAAGGGTAACAGGAGAAGCACCTTTTGTTTACACACACACACGTTTATAATCCCAAATTTCCATTTCTCCTCGCGCGTCTCGGTTGGGAGCTGTAGTCACCACAAACGGGGAATTTTTCTTCCAGGCTTTGCCGGCTCTGAGGGGAGAAGGGAGGGTAGCGCACCCCGGGGCTGGCCGCCGCGGCGGGC